AAAAAAAAAAAAAAAAATCCTAAGAGCACATTGTTAAAATTTTTTTTGAGACAAAGTCTCACTCTGTCACCCTGGGTGGAGTGGTATGGTGTCATGATAGCTCACAGCAACCTCAAACTCTTGGGCTCAAGTGATCCTCTTGCCTCACCCTCCTGAATAGATGAGACTACAGTTGTCTGCCACAACACTCAGCTAATTTTTCTATTTTTAGTAGATATGGGGTCTCACTCTTGCTCAGACTGATCTTGAACTCCTAAGCTCAAGCAATCTACCTGCCTCGGCCTCCTAAAGCACTAGCCACCACACCCAGCCCTATCAAATTAACCTTATGACAATCAATTCCTATTACTGTGTGAAAGTTTTCAAAAGTTGCAGTGGCTTGAACCCATAAAATCTTTGTGGTCTGAAAAAGAACGGATTTTTTATAGTTCAGGAAGACTTGCAACCATAGAATGTCAGGGCAGAACCACTCTCCCTCCCCCACTGACACTTTAGAGAACTGAGACCTTGAAAGGGTAAGTGTAATGGTGTCTCTTACTTCTGCTGTAACAAATTTCCACAAACTGAGTGGCTTAAAACAATACAAATTTGTTGGTTTATAGTTCTGGAAGTCAGAAGTCCAAAATGAATCTTCCTAGGTATTGGCCAGGTTGCATTTCTTTCTGGAAACTCTAAAGGAAAATCTATTTCTTGTTTTCTACCTTTTAGAGGCCACCTGAGTTAGAGGCTACCCTATTTATGGTCACTTCCTCCATCTTCAAAGCCAGCAGCATAACATCTCTCTCTGACTCTGACCCTGCCTCCCTCTTCCATTGATAAGGACCCTTTGATTACTCGGGACTGCCTGGATAATCCAGGATATTCTCCCTATCGCAAGGTGAGCGAATTAGCAATCTTAAATCCATATGCAGCCTAATTTCCTCTTGCCACAAAATATAACATATTAACGAGTACTAGGGTCTAGAGATGTGGACAGCTTTGGGGGCCATTATTCTCCTTACCACAATAAGTGATCTGACAAAGATTATGCTGTAAATTACTCACCAGAGTCTTGTAATTACTGCAACCTTATGTTTGTTTCACATCGGAATTGAGTAAACGGGATCCTATATTGAACCCTGTTCAAGAGAATTGATTAAAAAGGCATTAAAAGAACTTTGTTACAAAATCACCTTCTTATAAGCAGGTGGATCCACAAATTGGTCTTGGAATAACAGTGCTAATTTGTGTACTTGGTATATCTGAAGTCCAATTGTTTTAATTGCTCATTTTGTTAAGCAAGTTGAGTGTTTTCTTTGACTGTAATTAGAAAATCCAAATAACTTTAACATTATAATTCACTTCTACTTGATATCTGAAATTCTACTTGTCTTAGCTTCTATCACTTTAAGGTACAGTAAAAAAATCCAAAGTGTAGGAAGGTCACACATAGTGCCTCATGGGATATCTGCTCAAATAAGACTTGAGAAGGATCATGACATCAATGTCCAGATAGGTTTGGACACTTTACTAAAAGGCAAGTCTCTGCTGTGATCTAGGGCCCATTCAAAGTCCACAAGGCCCTCTGGGTGCTGACCTCTTGTTATGATAATTCTTGTAGCCAGCAATATTACATAGAAATTTTTGTTTTTGTCTGAAATAAGTATTTTTCCTGGATTACACTCATTGATGTCTTATTACATGCAACACAGTTTGTTCCACTGATGTTGGTGGGGTTTTTCTAAAGTGGCAAATGAAAATTGTTTGATACCACTGATTAGGTAAGGAAATCTAGTTTATTAGGAAGGGCAAATTAGGAGGTTTTAGTTAACAGAAGTGAAATATTTTATGTTATTGATTTTAGATGACTTATCCAGGTATCAGACAAGAGATCAGTTCAGCGGGATAAGAAATTACAGAATCTGGCTCGGCGCCTATAGCTCACCGGGCTAAGGCGCCAGCCACGTACACCTAAGGTGGTGGGTTCGAATCCCCAGCCCGGACCCGCCAAACAACAATGACGGCT